CTTAACTGAAAACACTTAGCTGCTCTTTGAATAATAGATCACCGAGGGGGATTGGAGTAGTCTCTTGGTGGTCACGCGGGAGGCCTTACCATGCTATCATTTCACTGGCACACACACACACACACACACACACGGCTACTCCATCACCTCCATTCAACTGTTGTTATTAAGTGCAGCGGAACCTCAATTGAGCAGCCTCGTCAGGGGCAGCGGCTGGAGCCCGTTGTCCGTTACGTCCCAGCACTTTTTTTGTCGCCGACTAAAATACCCAATTGGGCACGGGTGTCAAACGCAAGGCCCGGGGACCAGACCCGGGCCCGCCACGTCATTTTATGTGGCCCGCAAAAGCAAATCACGTGTGTCCGCAATCCTTGCTAAAATCTGGAACCAAATGTCAAATTCTCATTTGTGATCAATGACGTTGAGATTTTGAGGTCATTTTGTTACCCTGTGTACACTCACTTGAATAATAATTCAACAAACTATGATAGTGGCTGATTTTTGTTGTGTCCTTTGGTTTTGTTTTTTTGTGGAATAATGCCTTGAGATGATGATGAAACGCTCTTGTGGTCATAACGGCCCTCCGAGGGAAGCTGTGAGGCCACAAAAATGCGTTTGAGGCCCCCGGGGGAGGGGGGCATTTTCTTGGGATCCGACGATTCTGGTTCTTTGATTCCATTCCGCTTCCTCATGATTCTCAGTTTCAATTCTCCGAAAAGAAACAAAAAGGTTTTTTGGGGATGGAATTGGATCGAGGTTTTTCATTTCATGAACTTTGACCTTTTTTGAGCAATTTCCGCCGAGTTACTCAAAGGGCTATTCGGAACCTGTACCTTCGTATCAAACCTGTGAACTTGAATTTTTCAGCGTGGGAGGACGAAATCAGAGGCGTGCGATGGGCTCTTGAATCATTCTTGACGTGCAATTGATTTGCATTCAATGTAAGCTTTTTGTCGCTTTTTGCCTGTTGAAAACGACGAGGGAAGAGGACCCTCCTCCCCCCCCAAATCAATCAATAAATCGCATCCGAAAATTGCAATACGGGCGAGAAAAAAATCAGAGATCCCGTTTCCAAACGGCCGCCTTCAAATATGCCGCACGGCTAATCGAGCGCAAACTCAGCAGACAGCGTGGCACCAGCTCCACAAATATCTTTTCAGACAAACGGTCCACGCAGCCCGCGGCGAACGCTCTCAGCGCAACACTTGAAAGCGGCACTCTGGGCTTCGGGCGCGGCATGAAACTGCCGTCGCCGTGGATTGTAATTATGCGCGAGCGGCAGGGAGGCTTCGGGCTCTAAAACCAAACGGCAAACGAGGCGCACTGGCCCAGTGTGTGGGCAGACGCTGAGTTTTGCCGACTCGAAGGGATGGGGTGGGGGGGGGGGTCACCCGCAGGTCAGAGGATGTCGGCAAAGCGAACTGTCGCATGTTTATTCAGTCTTCTCACTGCGTCTTATGCATATCAAGTAGCAGAGTGGGATAGCTGAGTGCCATTGTAACTTCCCGACTAGAAAGGACAACGATAAACACAGGCTAATGTTAGCCTAGCTCGTTGCCGTGCCGCCTGACGAAGGTCCCGCTCAAATAATTTGCCGTAAACTACAATGTGGACCAAGTGACAAGGGCGCTCGACCGGCGCCGCTGTTGTGGTCAGCAATGGAGATGATCTGGCGCTCCTCAGTTATGTCTGAGGTCACAAGCCCAAAAATAAGTGGGCAAAAAAAATGCAGGCTGTCACCCTTGCAGAAATGCTGCTGCTTTTTGTGCAAATCATCGCATGGCAAGAGCGTAAGTAAAAGGGGCTGCGTTGATGTGCATCAGCCCGTGGGCAAGGACACATGATTAACTGGACCAAGAAAAAAAAAAAAAAAAAAAAAGGTGTCTGGAGCTGCAAAAAATTAAAAGCCTTACTATGAAGGCAACACATGTGGTCTGTATCTATAGTAGCTAAATTAGCGTATGACAGTGAAACTCCTTGACAACGAAATCTACATGGGCGAAAATACCCCCGAGTGTGAAAAAATCTTCATGCATGAAAGCCATTACCACTTTTCTGGTCAACCTACAACGAAAGGGTCCTTGTATAACGCGGCCAACGTAACTCCGTATGCCCTTCGCGATGCTTCTGTTATGCAGCCGACGCAGTGGTTGCAAAGATGCGTGGCCCCTTTCGCTCCGTTTGATAAGGTGAGCATGCACAATGGCGTGCTGCCATGACTCACACTCGCTTCTGTGCACCCGCCGCTCATGATCGAAACACAACAATTGCGAGACGGAAACAAAAGCGCATTGACAAGCGGCGTTACACTTTGCGAGACGGCGCAGGAACGCCGAGTGTTCAAGGTCATCCGCCCCGGGTCGGCGAATCCCAATTGACGGCGACGGGTTGTTTGCCGCTTTCTCCAACCCGCTTCGATAATGTCGGCGTGCGAAAAACGCGCCTTATACACGGTCGCCGGCTCCGAGGCGACGAGTGCAAGCGGGCGCTTCGGCTCTCCGCGGACCAATTGAGAAAATGCGCTCAGCGTTGTCTGCTCGTGACGAACACTGGCCACTCACGGATGCCTACCGCTAGTTGCTTCGTACAAAGTCACGCTGATTGACTGTCGTTTAGTCTAGTTTGGCTCCAAATGAATGCCCGCGATGAAAAAACTGCTGCCGCAAATGTCCGCTCTGGGTCGATTCATGCAAAGTCACGACGACAAGTCGTCACAACAGAGTGCCAATGCTTGCTTGCTTTTTGTCTTCTACTACTTGGTAACGACGACTTCAGACCAAGAAGCCGTTGTTGTTCACGTTGCCAACCATCGGCACCGCGTGAGGACATCGCCTCGTCAAAGCGATGAAAATGAATGAACGCGAGCGGCACACCCCAAGGAGCCGCATCTCAATTGGGCCGTCAACAGCGATCCTCCGTCTGCGAACATCTTGAAGGAGGTCAAATTCAACGGGGAAATCGTGAAATCAGACCGTTCACGCTATTTCGGCTGTTGCGGCGACACCTTTATTTTGTATTCCGGACCCGACCGTAGACAATGCAAGTCATTTCTGGACACGGGGACGAGCAACGTCCGTTTGAGCCGGAAAGCCCAAGGGTGGGCGTGGCCAAGTGGCCAGGAGGCTTTCTCAGGCCCGGCCCGCCCCGACGCCCCCGATCCGTAACATCCGCTCACGTGTCTCACATCCTCGGGCGAAAGCTGTCGCGCATCAAATGAATTTGACGAGGTCTCGCTTGGCGCTCGCTACAGCTGGCTCATTAAACACTCGACGAGGCACATTAGCATTTTGGGGCTTTATTTTATTTCTTTCTGCTTTTGGGGAGAATGACAATCCGTACGGGGCTACATGTGTTTTGTTTGGCCGCCGCCGATCAAGCACGTTACGGCTGCGAATACGACAACCTGTGACGTCGTTGACGGCAGCCGCGCCGCAGCCGATGCCGAGAGCGCGCCATGCAATTAGGGCCAAAGTCTGCTTCCATTTTGCCCGCCGTGCTCCCGTGTCACCCAACGTGATGCCTCACAGATATCCACAGGGGTCCCTTTGGAGTGGCCGCTTAGTTGATGAACTCAAAGTTGTCGTGGGCTGAGCCGCTCCGAGGTTTGGTTGCCGACTTAAGTCTCCAAGGGGAGACTTAAGTTGGCAAGACCATCGGTTGCTGCAGCCGAGTGGCGACCGTGGAGGCTGCTTTCGCTTACCAACGTTGGAAGAGAACAAGGGTCTCCTTTAATTACTTCTCAGAGCGAGACCAACATCATCCAAGAGGAGTCGAGGGATGACGGCAACAACCGTGGAGACTATGGGCAGCATCCCATTTGACGTTTGATGAGCTTGCGTTTCTGCAGTATTTATTTCGCGGCGCGAGACCCATTTGAACCAATTGGAAACGAAGGGCAACAAGACAAAGGACGGTTGCCGTAAACTGAGGAATAACAGAATGGTCACCAAAAGTAGAACCAGGGTCACCTTCAACCATTTGGAGGCCGGAAACGCCTTTTATCCGAGGAAAGACTGCGGGCAACAAGTCAACGACCCATCGCGGCAAAGCGGAGACTGCGGAGTATCCTATCGGCTGCCGACAATAGAGGAGGCTCTCCTGAGTTATTTCTTAGCATGAGACATTTTAGCGAAGGGGGAAACGAACGGCAACAAGCCCGCGGACACTTGCCGCACATTGGAGACAAGTGTCTCCCGACGTTCTCTCCATGCCTGAGACACATTTTATCCGAGGGTAAACAGGAGACCATCGCAGCAAGGTGGAGAAGCCGAGGTATGACAGCAGTCACAAACAAGTGAGGGGTCCTTCAATTCTGACTCAGCACGAACCACCTTATCCAAGAGGAGATTAAGGGGCCTTTGTCCAATTGCCATCTCAATCTTCCGGTCCCGCGCCGTCTGCTTTTCCCTCCCGAATCCTCTCGACGAACTTTTGTCCGAATTGGTAATGCAACCATCTGGCTCGCTTGTTATTTTACTTTGCGGCTATTTGCCCCAAATCTCTCCGGGCTGGCGCGCTCCATTCCAAACAGGACGTCGGCTCTGCGGCGCGAGGGCCGTCTCCCCCGGAGGCACGTTGCGCTCCGAAATTGTTGGAGAGAGTGCGGATGAGAGAGAGGACGTCTTTTCCGTCCGGGAATCTTGACCCACCGCGCGTGCGTGTTTGTCTCCAACCAACTTCATCTTTCTCTTCTTCAGGCTCCGTTTGCTCTTCCAAACTGATGTGTGGCTGAGATGAGAGGTTTCAAAGAGGCGCGCGCGCAAACAACACGGTTACAACTGTGAAAGCTCATTAAAACTCTGAGGCCGCAGCCAGATTTCCTCGGGAAACAACATCTTAGTGAAAGATTAGCTTTTTTTTTTTTTGTGCGGGTGGGGGGGGAGTGCAGACAAATGCGGTGGTTGTTGTTGTTGGTCTTTGGAGTGGCTTGGCACCAAAGGCTTTCTCACTGTGTACTTTAGAAGGTAAGTTGTTTGTTTCCCCCCCCCCCCTCCCTGCAGCGACCTTGTCTGAAAGGCACCCGGCCAACTCGGAGGAAAGTCGCAGCTTGACTGAGACCGACTGCATCCTCGCATGGCGCCGTGAGGGGGGGAGGCCGAGGCGACTCGCTTTGGCGGACAGCTCGTAACCGTGGGGCTTTCCCCCCGAGGAGACGCAAGAAAGGACGCTCGCAAACAGATATCGCGGGAAAACGAAGCAAGTGTTTCTCAGCGTGGATTTCTCAGCAAAATGATCCAAGTTGGAGACGAACGTCAGCTCGAAATCATCCTGTTCCAGTCAAGGGGAGACCGGGAAGCGTCAAGCGCGCAGGAGGCAAGGGCCCGCGACTCACATGCATCTTGCCGCTAACAAATAATCAAGGCCAATGACAGTCTCCCTGATCTATTCCTCTGTCTGAAACTAGCGACTTCTGTCTTTAGATACAATGCAATAACATGCTGATTTATATAGCGCTTTCACAACAGCTGCAGCTGTAACAAAGCGCCAAACAAGTAAAATAATACGCACAATAATACACGGACAGTCGATGTCAGGAAAAGTCATAGTTTATCCAGTAGGAGACTGAGGGCAGCAAGACAAAAAAACTCTTGCAGTGAAATGGAAACGAGTGTCATACCGCTAACAAACAACCAAGCAGAATGACAGTCTCCCTTATCGATTCCTCAGAGTGACGGCAATTTTGTCCAAGAGGAGACTTGGGAACGCTGAAGAAATTTGAGATTGTGGAGCGAAATCCTCCAGCATCAAAGTAATCGCACGTCTCAGTCAGAATTGGACACAGGAACAAATCATCGAGGAAAACTAGGCTCATGTTTTTATTCCTCAGCGTAAGAGCACATTTTATCCAATAGGAGACTAAGGGCCAAGAATCTGAGGGTCAGTAACACGCTAAGCTAACCTTGAGCTCCCCCCCTTTCTCCACTTACCAAGCCAGTGTTCACCGGTGATTTTCCCGAAGCCCTCGCGGTAGCTCTCCCAGGCCCGGAAGAAGTTGACTGAGCCGTCCTCGCGGCGCTGGATCACCTACACAGGACGGGACCAAACGGGACAAAGCGGCACAGGGGGTAAGCAAACCAGATCGATCGCGTTTCATCCCGCCTCTCTGATGACTCATTCAAAGCGTTGGCCCGAGCTCATTGCGCAACGCACGCGCGGCACGCAAAATCAAGCCAGCAAACGAACACAAATGAAGTGGCCAAAAGGCAATTTGTCAAAAAAAAAAAAACCCTCCAAAAAAGAGAGGACCTAATTAAACGTGGATTGAATTGAAGTGGAGTTCACGGCGGAACCTGTGGAAATGGCTCTCGGCGCGCGATCAGAGCGCTGCTTTGTAATGGAGCGCGTCCAATTGGGGCAACCTTTGTCAGACAAGCCACAAAAAAAAAAAAAAACGGATTCCGAGCGGAAACGTCCACGCGTTCAAGGTTCCCGATTCTTCCTCATCTTTGAAGATGGCATCAGGCAGCGTCTGCGCACACCAACCAAACGCCGTCATCGCGCTCGCGCCACCTTTGGGTGTTTGGCGCCCACGCGGTGTCGCTGAGCTCGGTGGAAAATGACGTGTGACCGTCTGAAGAGAAACGGCTGGAAACTTTTGCCGGGTCACCGCCAAGCGGTTGGCCGCTCGTCAGAGTCCACCAAGTCGGCCGTTCGGTGCGGCTGCGGGTGAAAACGTTCCCTCGGCCGCCTCCCTCCCTCCCTCCCTTCAATCGCGGCCGTCCTTTCCTCCGCTTTAATGACGAGTCGACCTTGGAGGCGGCGCTCTCTCTCCGTCGTCCGGACGGGCCTTTTCGACCAGTTCAGGTCGTTATCCTGTTGAAGGACCCGGAAGCGCCCACCACAACTCCCTCGATCGTCTTGCGATAGGTTCGGGGCACCGCGCGCCGGAAGCAACGTCTGCTTTTGTTCATTTCATTGACATTTGAAGGTCTCATTGGAGATGCGGCTTGTCCCTCGCCCGTCCTGGCCCCTGACATCTGGATTCTGGTCTTTTTTTCCTGCTGCTTCTCCTCCCTTCGCTTCACCTCCTCCTCCTTGAGATTAGGATTCTTACCGTCCGGCCCGGATTATGGCCTGTTTTACTGCCCTTTCCCCCGGCCGAGAGAATTTTTCCCTTGCTCGAATGGTGGGTGGAGATCAAGGAATGTTGATTTGTTTTTTTTGTTTTGTTTTTTGGTGCGACGCCCTTTGAGACTTTTTTTTGAGGCTTTTTAAATCAACTCAACTTTATCGGCGTATTTGTTTTGAGAAATGATGTCCGCCCATTTCTTGACGTTTCTATTCTCCTTTCCTCATGGAGGCAGACAGACAGACGGACAGGCCGCGCATGGATCTAATTTCCTCTCGGCAGAAATGTTGGCCTTATCTTGAGCCGCGCAGATGCGAAGGTCTCATGTTGACACCTTTCAAACCATAAACGGCGAGCTCCCGTGTTTGCACTCCACATCAAAACAACCCCCCCCCCCACCCCCGCTTGCCACCGCGCCAGCTCCGAAATTCCCACATCCTCGCAGTGTAGCTCGAGGGCAACAGCCGATCAAAGTTGCGTCAAAGTCGAGGCGCGAAGCGTCCTATCAGGTCGGCGGGAATTAAAGCCGGTCGTTGCCGCCGCCGTCAATCCGCCGGGTTGGTGCAAAAGCTCCGCGTTTGGAAGCGCTCACCTTGCGAGCCCATCTCCAAACAGCAGCGGGCTGTTCATGGAACACTCCAGGCCTGAAAATTGCATTTTATATTGCAATAGTTCCGTTTGAATGAAAAGGATCAATTGTCTTCACCTCCTGTGGAGTTAAACCAAAAAAAAATCAAGGCTGAATCTGGGACAGTGGCAACCTCTTTTTGTTTTTTTTTTTGTTTTTTATATAGCGCTGCGCTCTCTTCACATCAACCATTCTGCAGTTCAATTTCGTTCTCTCCGTGCAGCTCTTAGGTATTAAATTCTTTATTTGTGCTGTTCTACATGCTCCACAAAGTCGAAACAACCCATTTTTTTTCCCCCCCTCCCGGAGCTACCTCCAGTCTCGTCTGCTTTGCGACCTATTCAGACATCAGAAAGAAAGCTGCCGATAGAGACACTTTGAGGTCACTCAACAATCTGCGAGGAAAGTTGGGAAATCGGTGTCAGGAAAAAAAAAAAAAAAAATGACGGCTGCAAGTGAAGCTCCGAGCTAGGGGGAAGTGCTGCCTTCGCATTCAAATACAACCAGGACCAAAGTGTTGACTTTGGCTAATGCGGCCATGCGCTAGTTGGGAGCTGCGATGTCATGGTTTCATTTCATTTCGACTCTTAATTCGGTTCAGTTGAATTTGTTCTGAGAGCCAGTTTTGGAGTTCATCTTTTTTTTTATTTCTCCAAAATAAATTATTAGATGAATTAATTAGATCGACAAACTGGATGGAAATGCCTGCAGCAGGCAATGAGTCGTTTCGGACCTTCTGGGGTCTTTTTTAACGTGACCCGTAGGTGCTGCTGTTTTGGTGTGCGATGAAGTTGAATCAACTTGATTCTGGGCGAACGGTAGAGTCCAAAAGACTCAAACGTCAATCCCGCCGCGACATCGCAGCCGACGCTTTGCCTTCGTCCCCGCGCTCGGATTTGCATACGTCGCGTGAACCTCCCTGTCGCCGCGCCAGTAGATGAAGGCGACTTAACGAGCCGCCTTAAGCACTTCAACGGGATTTCTGTCAGCGGTGCCGCGCACAGATGGGACGCCGCGACAGCCCGAACGGAACGCCGGAGCGAGAATCAACCTAAGCTCATATTTAAAAAAAAAAAAAAGCTGTTTGACAATCTGGCACGTGAGGGGCCGGAAAGTAAGCAGGCGTGCCGGTGGCGAGATGTCGCGGCGTTCGCAGCACACAAGAGCCGATCGCTGCGCGCAACCGTTGTCAGCCTAGCGGCCCTTCCGGCGCTAAAACGCGCCTGCGCCAGCTCACAGTTTGATGCGCAATATGACCATTGAACAAATCCAATGATGAAAAGCGAAAGGACACTTTTCCGAAGCGGCGCGTGCCGGTGAATGTTTTCTAATCCTATTAGAGAGACAGATGTGCGACGAGCGCGGCGGCAACAGGCGGGAGCAGATGGAGAAGCGCAATCATCCTCCGGCATTTTCTTGATTTCTAGCCGATAAGATTATTCCTGGCCGTCTGCGGCAAAGCCGCTCGGTGTCGCATTGAAAGAGAAACCTGCTTCGCCGTATGGCAGGAAGCCGCTTAGCTTCAAAAAAAAAAAACATGACGGAGTGATCGTGTCGGTTTCCCGAAACGTGAACGTGGACGTTCACCACAATGAGGCAAAATCGGCGCTGGGAGCGAACACGGCTGCACGCAAAAATTGAAGCCCGCGTCTTCAGATGAGCAAAGCGCATCTTTCGTTCGAGCCACGAGACTGTCGGGGTTCGCAACAGAGTGCTCTCTTCCTGCGTGAATGGACAGGACGACCAGATTTTTTTTTCCATGATGGCTAAAAGCTGGACCTTTTATGTTTGAGGGAGCCGTTGATTCGTCGGAACTCGCTTTGCGCAAACGTATGAAACGTGGGGAACAAAAGGAGCTTAAGAGGGAATGAAGAGGAAGGAAAAGCTCATTTTTTCCCAAGGTTTAACAAAAACGTGAAGAGGGTGCGCGGCGTGCATCCGCAAGCTAGTGGCCTCACTTTTTTTTTTTTTTTCGGTTCGTTTTTTTGTTTTTGTTTCCATTTTCTTTCAAAGCAGTCAACCAGCACATGAAATATTGAGGCCGAATATTGGTTGAGGAACGCCGGGAAAGCGGCGAGGCGGCGGCGTCGTCACGTCACTCTCGCTCGGGGCTCGGAGAGCGCACAAACGCGCGGCCGCTCCAGATGAAACTTTTACATTTCTCCGAATGGCTTATTTGTCGGCGACTTCTGATAAAAGCCCCTGCGGCATTTGATGACGCGCGCCCCTTCAATAATGCACGCCGCGCTTATTTTTACACCGTACGCCTTTTAACACAAGTCACAATCGGAGACATTAGCCCGCACGGAAAAGCTTCGCCCTCCGTCGCCGATGCATCTTTTAGTATTTGGCCAACGTCTTTGCTTTTTTTTCCAAAGTTGCCCTTCTGCGGTTGTCGTCCCATTTTGCGCTTTCAAAGGATGCAATGGCTTCCGTTTCCTCTTCCGCGGTTGTCGATTTCGGGGACACGTTGCACTTCCTGTTCTATGGTTGCCGTCACGTCTTCCTTCTTTGCGCTTTCTGGCGCTCCCCCGACGCGGTCCCTTGCCCGTTCTGGGAATGTCTTTTTCTCTTTTTGTGATTTGCATCTTCCCATTTTTCGACTTTGTGCATCTCTGCCGCAAAAAAAAAAAAAAAAAAAAACGTCCTTTTCCGCTCCGATCCAAAGTCGCGTTTCTCGTCCTGCGGTTTTCGTTACAATTTTCCGTTGACGCTTTGACGCCGCAACAGCTCGCGTTTTCTCTGCGCGCGGTCGTCATCACGTTGTCTTCCGGGCACGTTCCGGCGTTGCGAGAAGCTCCATTTGCCGTTGCGCCACTCTCATCGCATTGTTCTTATCGGCGCTTTTCCGTCAGGCGGTAACTTCCATTTTCTCTCCGCTGGGGATTACTTCTGGTTTTGTTTGTTGCGCTCTGCGACGTTTCATCACCTGTTCTATGGTCGTCATCACATTTTCTCTCCTATTATCCTTGTCGGAAACGAGCCTGCCGTTCTTTTCCTTCTCCTCCTTTTTCTTCGCGCCTCCCTCCGGTGAACCCCTCAAGACGACAACGACGACACGTCACGGCGGCGTGCTAATGCGGCGGCGGCCTAAGTCTCACGCCTTATTTAAGGTCACCCCGAAGAGACCGAGCGGCAGACTGCTAAGCTAGCGACTCAACCTGTCCTGGGCTTGGCGCCGCGTTGATCTGCTAATGAGGCTGAAGTGCCGCGGCAATCAGCTCAGCGCGCCGGGCGGGATCAGTCGCCACTATCGCAATTCCAAATCCTGTTAACAGGACCTGCAAAAGGTGTCACGGAGCCTCTGTGCTTCACATTTTTTTTTTTTTCTATCCCCGGGGAAAAAGCGCAAAATGAGTGACGGGCCGGCGACGCCGCTCCGTCCCGTCATGCCGCGCTGAGCGATGCATCACTCTGACAGTTTCGCTTTATTTGATGATTGGGAGGTCGCGACCTTGCCCGTCTGGCAAATTTGTTGTCACGCCGACGCACTCCAAGTGACGGCTGCTCAGCGGTTGTCCCGTCACCGCAGGCGGGGGATTGGGGGGGCGGGCGAACAAACAAACAAATGACAGACAGCAAACTGGGGAGTTTGTCGCTCGCGTCATAAACGGAAGGCTGTTGATATCGAGAGTCGCTCTTATTTTTGCCAGTTTCCATCGCACGGAGGCTGCATCTTTTGTCCAAAGCGGAAGATATTGAAGGAGAATCGGATCAATAAGCATCATTGATCATAGAACTGGAATAGCTCAATCCTTATCGGTTCCCAACTCTCAATAGCACTTTTTCAAATAGTTGATGAATAGGCACGGGCGAGTATCAGGCCAATGCTGGCTTTATTTTCGGGTATCGGAAGTTTGTAAAGGAAGCCGATACCGGCCGCTGATACTCAAGGCAATACGGTATCGGTCTGAAAAAAAGTAGAACATCGTTTTCAAGAATAGTCCTCATCTTTTTGGGGGGAAAGTTTCAACCTTTGGGAAGGAAAAGGACAGGAACCTCGACGCTTTGTCGCTACCGCACCCGCGGTGCAAATTGACACGTTTCTTCTTGTTCTTCGGCCCTAACCCGCTGAAAAAGTCTCATCAACGATGTCTCTTGTCAGCCCCTAACCTTTAAGACCTCGGGCTCCTCTTGTAGGCGCGTCAGACGAAGCGGGGCGCGTCAAGAAAAAGAAAAACTTTTCAAAACAGCTGGAGTGGCAGCCGGCGTAGGGCAACGAGGTGGTGCCAAAGCGCTACATGAAGCCGATAAACTCACTTCAGCTTAGTTCCCTGGCAACAAAATGGCACATGATGATGCCAAAGCAGTCCAGTGGAGCCCCGCGATTGGCGGAAAGCCACAAAGACACCGTGTTGGCTCACCCCCAGCGCCCCAAAAAAATAGCTTGAAATATAACAGTGATAAGCAGAAAGCCATTTTTTTCAAGAAGAAAATATATCTCGACATATCAAAATTTCGCAAAGATGTGAATCCGCAGGTGTCGAACCACCTGGATACAAATTTTTGTTGGGGAGCCAACCATTTTCTTTCATGAAAACTGCCTACTGGAGGTCCCTGTTTTCTCCAAAAATTTGGCTTGGAAAAAAAACAAAAAAAAAAAAACCCTAACAACAACCAGCCTCAAAACAGATCACTCAGTCAATTTCCATTGCAAGCGGGCATTTGGCGCCCCAAATGATCCCCCCGGCCCAAAAAGGAAGGCTTCCATCCTCCGAGGTCTTCCCATATCCTTCAAACGGCGGGATGACAAAAGCGGGCGCGAGGTTTATTAAAATGTAAATGCCGCCGTAAAATCCTTTCTTCCCTCCAAGCGCACGAGTTGGCAGACATGAAAGGAAGCAATTATTTCTGCCAAGTTCACAACCAGGAAGCAAAAATTTCAACGCACTTCTCAATTTGTGCTTTGGACGGAGTCCAAAAACCGCAAAGAAAGGACGACGCCTCCACTTGAGCGGTGGCGCTCTCGCTCGCCGTCGCTCTCTCTTTGGATGCGTTGTCGCCGCTTCGCGTGCGCGTGTTGGTGAGCGATGGCCAAATCCATTCAAAATCAGATTTCCAAATCGAACTTGAAAAAGCGGCACCGCGGGCAGCGTTTGTTCACCTCTGAGCGCCGGCCACGCAAAAGGTTGCGCGCTCCGGAACCCAAATTCATTCACGTTGGGCAAAAGAAAGCCCAAAAAGCATGATGACCAAAACACATCTGTGGAATTGCGTAGCAAATAACATGCTTCAAAAACATTGTTTAAAAAAAATGCGATCTTGGCAAAGGCCCCTCTTCCACTTTGGAGAGTGCGAGCGAGCGTCCGGTGCGACTCACCGTCCAGCCGCCTCCGTCGGTGGTCATGTCGCAGTAGACCTGAAAGCCGCTGGGATGGTGGATGGGGAACACGGAGTAGATGCCGTCCTCTCGCTGGCCGCCGGCGTACAGGTCGCCGCAATCGCGCGGACGCGAGCCTGCCCGCGGGAAAGTTCGGGTCACAAAATTGCCGGTCGACAAAAGCCGAGATCAAAGCGGTAACATTTGGTGTGCGCCGCGCCTCCAAAGTCACTTTTCCTCCAATTCTCACCATCCCGAGGAGAAAAAAATGCTCCCGGGCAAAGCGGCGGCGGCGGCAGCCTCACCGTTGGCGCAGCCTTTGAAGCGGGCGGCCCTCGCCGGCGCCCTCTGCAGGTCGGCCTTGGCGCGCGCCTTCAGGCCGGCGTTCTCCTTCTGCATGGCGCTGAGCGCGTCGCTCACCGAGTTGACCACCTTCACCATGTTCACCTGGCTGTCCGACAACAGCTGCGCAAAACGACGAAAACGAACGGCTCATTTTCAGGCGAGAGAACGGAACGCCGAGGCTCTTTGAGTTCATTTTTCGAACCCCCCCTAAATGCCAAAGGGTGCCCGATTTGACACAAACACGCCGCAAAGGCGAACTTTGTTGCCAAAGTGACCTCCCGAACGGAACGCTTACAAGGCAGGTGAATAGCAAGACGGCACTTGAACGATCGCGTGAAGATCGCCGTTTGTCTTTTGAATGCGCACGCTGTCATTTCAAGCCCTAGCCTGAGTTTCGAACGCTACCTTGAAAAACAAAGCGAGTGGGGGTGCGAAATGTCCACGGATTCCGTGGTGAAAAATCGGATTTTCACAATCAAAATCATTGTGGGGGGGAGGAGAAAGGGGAGGGGTCTCCTTGGCTTGAATAGCCTTGCGCGGCGACCGTGCAGGGTCGGTCTTTATGGCAGTTGGTTAGTGACGAATGTGGTCCACCATATTGGAAAAAGAATGCCCCCGCCCCCCCCCTTCCGATGAACGGGCACGTCCACGGCAAAGCAAAGCGTTGTCGGGGCCCCGGTCATGAAGTGCGGCGCGGCGGCTCATCAATTAGGACGCTGATGTAATTAGCTCTCGTTAGCCGGCCTTCAAAGCGGCTGCCGGGCAAAGTCAGCAGATTCGGTCATTATCGAGCCATTAAACGCTCGTTATCGGCGCTAGATGCCAGCGTACGTTCGGGCTACCGGGGTCCGGACTGTGAGGGCTGCGAGTCCGAAGAAAGTAGCGGCGTGGCTTTTCGGAGCGCCAAAGAGCATCGTGTCGCGTCGGCTTGGAATAACCCCCACTCGTGGCTTGTTTTGGGGGGGTTTCTGCGGGTGCAGATTCCAGTTTGCTCAAAGAAAATTCGGATTTAACGGCCCATTAACTCAAAGACTGTATCATTCATTTTTAGTTCCTGAACACAGCAGAATTAAGAGAGAATTCAATGGGATGATGGAGGAATTGCGTGCGGTTTGTCGCCGCGTTTGAAGTGTCGTTTTCAACCTCAACTTGGAAAGTTCTTGTCAAACAGCGGAGTGATTTTCTTTGTTCTTGTGCTCATTTTGCCATTTCTCTTGCTTGTTGTCGTGTTCCACGCTGAGGGTTCGGCCAACGTCGCGTTCGGGGGAGGGACGGCCGCGTACTCGTACGTACGGAGAAGCATCTCGCTCGATGTTCCGAGTAGTGAGCGCGTACAGTCTTCCCAGTACTTTTTGTCCTAAATCTCGCCAGCTGCCCATTTGCTTAATTGAGCGGGGATTTCATCCCCGACGTGACTTTGACGGTTATCCGCCAATGATCCAATTATCATTATCCGCGGTTATTTGCCGGAGCTTTCAAAGTTAATTGCGCCGCGGTGACGAGCTTTTCTTTCTCATTACGCGGCCTCAAAGGACCTCGTGTCAGGACCGCTAAACGTCTCCGGCGCGAGAGTCGCGGCGGTCGGGACGCGCCGCGGCCACGTTCGTAATCGACGGACGTCCCGCCGACTTTGCGTCAAAGCGCGCTCGGGGGTTGAGCACCCGACGGGCCCCGCAGATTAGTTTTGGAACGCGCATCTCTTCACTCACTCCGCAATGAGGCAATCGGCGCGGGACGGTGGATCCTATTGTCACACCTGGGGGGGGGTGCGCTTGAAACCTCACTTTGAAACAACCTTATTTTAAAGGCTCATTTTTATACACCCCTAATCTATCTTTAGATCATCTATCTATCTAGATACATCTCTCTCTCTTGCTCTTTCTCTCTCTCTGTGTATATACACAGAGAGAGAAAGAGAGAGAATATGTATTCTAATTCTTCCCTGTGTGCTCGGCAGCGCGCTCTTTTCAACACACAAACAAGCGATTGCCGAGGCCGGCGTGGCGGTCGCCGTGCGTCACCGTCGGCGCCGCAAACGCGGCCACAGGCGCGCCATCGATCACTCACACCCGGCCGCCCCGAAGACGCCATCAATCTTCTGGCCGCTTCTCGCCCGCTTTTGGCACGGAGACTTTTTGCTTCGGGCGACCCGCTCGGATTCCCGTGAGATGAGGATGACACGTCAGCGATGGCGACAGCTGCTCGGAGAGACGGTTGGCGAATGCCGTCCGAGCGCAAGCCCTCGTCGGACGGCTAAATTTGACGCCCCGCCCGTCATCTGAAAAGCTAAAGTAGGCTCGCAGTTCAAGCCTCGATGCAAACCCCGGCCGTCGTTCCCCCTCCCTACCTGTATGAGGCGCGCTTGCTCCGACTGCAGCGTGTTGAGGTCTTGGCCCAGGCTCCCCTGTCCCCGGCGCAGGGACTCGTAGTCCATCTTCAGCTGGCCGGCGTGGGCGGAGAGCTTGGCCACCTCCTCGGCCAGGCCGACGAGCAGCGCCCGGTCCTGGCCTTTGACCGACTTGAGGTCCGAGTCGTGGTCGCTGAGCGAGCGCAGCAGCGAGGTCTGCGCGCCCTCCAGGCGCAAAAAGTTGCCGCCGTAGTCGGGGCAGTTGGGGTCGATGAAGATGTTGACGCGAGAGCCGTCGCCGCGCTCCACCGTCACCAGGGCGTTGGCCTCGTCCTGGTTGGTGGAGACGTGCGGCGCGCCGTCCGACACGGGCGGCGCCTGGTTGTGGTTCATGAAGAGGATGGCGCCCGTCACCGTCACGGCCAGCAGGACGGCCGCGAAGAGCAGGATGGTGCACAGCAGGTAGCTGCAGCTCATCCGCTGTCGGGAGGGGAGACGCAGACGCGCGCGGCGCCGGTTAACGGGCCCGACAAAACAAGACGTCAAGCCCCCACACTCCAAACCCCAAGAATCCCGATCTTGAAACTACCGTTTGAAAAGGCAGCCCGACTGGCTGAAATAGCGCACCTGGCCAGCCAGTGCTGGCTATTGATGGTTTGAGGATTGGACCAAGGTTTTGATCCAACATGGAACGAAAAGCCCGCAAGATCGACGGCTGGGTCAAAATCTGCTCGGAACCCAGAAAGCAACCCAAGTGTTTGAAACCTAAACCCAAACCCTTCGACAGACAGGCCTTCTTTTAAAATGCTAACCAGGGCTTGAAATTGCACATCTGGAACCGTGATTTGAGCCCGCAAACAAGAAGCGGCGCAACCGCCGTGCAGGAGAAAAAGGCCCATGTCTCCTGGAAGCGGGGCGGCCATGAACGACACCCAAAAACGGCCGCCCGTGCGTTCGGCCTTTTCCGACTCGGCTCCATGTTACATCGTCCCGGCACCCGCTCGCCCGCCACGAATCGGCGCTGCATTTCTTATTAGCGCTCGGTCTGCACTGGAGGACGAATGAGGAGTCGAATGCGCTGTTTGTTTTGTGTCTTGTAAGCGCAAGCGCGCGCGCCAGAGACGGCCGGGCTCATTAATATGCAAATGAGCCGCCCCGGCTCGGGGCGGCGCGCTAGCGGACAGCTAACGGTAAATGCTTTACGACAGGAGAGCTTTATGGTTTCTGGAATGGGGAGAAAATCAATTGCCTTGTGCGGGAAACCAAGAAATGCTGAAAAAAAAAAAAAAGCAGTGATGCAAGGTCACACCCTCACCCGCAATTCTGCACGCTCGCCCCGACCGGAGTTCAAAACCAACCACAGAGCCGCTCCAGGTTTTCCATTTGGCGTTTCTCAGCAGGTCGGAGGTGCCTTCAAAGCCACCGAGCTCCGAAAATCGACGATTGGCTCATTGACAAAAGCAGCGAGTTGGCGTTGGCCAACCAAAGTGACAAGAAAAAAAAATTTGATGGCCAACAGCCCCTGGCACCCCTTGGAGCAACTTTGGATGCCGAGCCTTCAGACTGCCGCCGTCGGTCTCGTCCGATTGTAGCCTCGACACTTGAGGGCGTTCATTTCACCAATGAAAAGAAAAGCAAACACTTTAGCTCCCGTTCGCACGCGGCCACGTCGGTGGACTTCATTCTTAACTTTGTCAAGCGTCGCTCGCCCCCGCCATCGGTTCCCGAGTCCCTCTCGCTTCTCCGCGCGTATTGCTGCGGCGTCCGTCGCCGCCCGTTAGCATTTCCCCGCGCCGCCCCGTCTACCTTTGTCTCCCGCCGGCGCCAATTTCCAAATAACACCCCGACAGCCTCCCCTTTAAGTTTCTCGCTCGCAGCTATCCCGCCTTCACACATTTTAGCGCCAAAGGGGCCGACAGACGAGTGCGACGGCTCGCCTTGAACGTGCCGGCGCAGACGCCGACGAATTCAACGCGACGGCCGTGGCGGGGAAGTTACCCGGGACAAAGATTTGCCGGTGAAATCAAGTTGATTTTCCATAAATCTGTACTTGAGTATTTTCCGAAACCCTTGACAATTTCTGTCAGCATTGAAAAGCAGAAAAGCGTGCCTTGCGCCTTCCTTTGTCAAAACTGATCTCGGCCGTTCTCTCGGCGACGCGCGAGCGTTTAAAAACGCATCTCGCCTCCTTCGCCGCAGAGGATTTACACCTGATGGAAAAATGGTCGCATTGGGCGCATCCTCTCTCCACCGCGATGTAGCCCGGTGGACAAAAAAAAAAAAAAAATCTCCGCAATGTAGCCCGGTGGACAAAAAATAAAAAAAAAATGCCGAGGCTCAGGCGCGGCTGTGACCGAATGCGTACGTGCGTCCTTTTTGAATGAGCGAGTGGTGTTTGCACACAAATCCTCGGGGCCCAAACAAGTGGAAGAACGCCGGCATTTCTTTTCTGCGCCGTCCTTGGACTTGAAACGAGTGTATGCGCGCGCGCGTGTGCGGGTCGACGTTCGCAAGGTGCATTTAATCCCACTGTTCGCTAAGCCGATGGAGTGCGGGCCGGCTGGGGAGGCTTTGCATAAGTTGACCGGCGGGCCGACTAATCGCATAACGCGGCACCGCCGCGTGCATTCAAATGGGACTTGTGAACTCACATTTACTCATTTCATCACAGTTTTTTTTTTTGCGAATCGCTTCACATTTACGCCACGTGGCGCCGACCCCGTGAACCGGCCTGCCGGCCCTAGACAAGTGTAGCTAGCGCATTCCGCCATCGCTTTCTTTGCTATTCTGTGACTCGCGTGACCTCTACAACCCCTTTGTGACAACCGCATTGCACGGGTGGGCTCATGGCTAGAAATACTCGATCAAAGCCTCCAACGTGGCCCTTTTCCGGCACGCATTTGTGTGGCGCTAGTTCCGGGTGAGCACCGCGTCTTTCTTTTGCCAGCAGACAAATTGGCTCGAGCTCGAGCTTTGGTGGCGCTTTCGCTGGCCCCAACCGCGTCGGGGGCCTGGGGGCGGGGTTATGGTGACGATGGCAGCACTCCCGGGACACGCCCAAGTTGTCGAGCGCTCAACTTGCGTCCCACCAGAAGAGCCGTGGCGGATGTGTCACTTTTCACACTGAAATAAGGCTGCCTGCCTGCGTGGCCTGCAAACAGCCGCAGGGAATTGCCTTCAAAGCTCGACGTTGCGCTGAATGGGGGAAAAAAAATGAGCATTGCCTGTGGGATGATATGAAGTGATGTGGAATGGCAGTGAACTGGGAACTTTTTTTTTTTTTAGGGGGGGGAGGCGTGGACATTTTTGCCATGTTGAAAATCACGACCAGGCTGAATAAAATGTCCTGAATGGTTTGAATTTCAAATGGGACCGATGATGTGGATCGGTTTGAGATTTTTTTTTAGGTGTGGGGGGGGGGGGGGGGGGGGGGGGCTGAGTTGCGGGATTGGTGGTGAAAATGATCGGCCAATGGGCAAGTTGAAAAATGTTCTCGAGGTGAACTGAATGAGCTGAATGGCAAACGGGGGAGCAATTTCAATCTGTTCTGTTGAAATGTTGAATATCTCATTGGGAGCGAGTGGGGATTTTTTGGCAGGGGGGGAGTGTGAAGATGCTGGATTTGGGGAAAACTGAATTTTCCAAAAAAGAATCGCATGCCAAGTGTGAATTTTGGGCATTTGTTGAACTTGGAATGATGTCAATCGGACGAATGATGTGGAAGATGATGCATGTCCAAATAATGCGTGCAAGCGGAAAAAAGAAATTTCAACATTTTCCCAATTATGTGGCAGACACACACGAGGAGGAGAAGGGGAGGCGGCCTGGCCTGGCGGAGATGAGACCAATCACCTGCTCTACTCTGCACCGCCTGTCCTTGGAGCTCCCTGTGCAATCACGCCACAGTTAAGTGAGTCCGTCACCCGCATTCTTCGCACCCGCGCGCACCCGCACAGCTGCTGCGACAAAGCACACACTCATCAGGTGGTGGCTCACGGCGTTCGCTTTGAAGTGAAACGAAGGTTGGAGGGTTTGTTTTCTCCATGTTTGTTTTAGTTGGGGGGAGGGAGGAGGGGGGGGGGGCTGCCGTTTGGGCCATTAAATACGACGTCGGGCCACACAAATACGTTTCACTTGTCCTGACTGCAAAATGAAACTTTTATGCAAACAACGACGACAAAAGGCCTCAGGAATGAAGTCAAGTCGTATCAAAATGCGGCGGAGAGCGGCAACGCGAGCATCAGGACGCATTCACGTCGGCGTGCCGTCTCCGTTTTTCCTGAGGTGTCCGCGCTCAACTCGATTCTCTCTTTTGTTGGCCATCTCATACCGTGCATTTCTTCACAATACCAACAGAGACGCTAAATGTGCCTTTTCTTTTCTTTCAATATCAGCGAATGAAGGAAAAAAAATGATGCGTAAACGGGCTCCAGCAGAAAGGCCGTTCGCGTCATTGTGGGTAAAAGGGCGGGTGCCTGAGCACCACCGGGGTGGACCACAGGCACGTGGCTGCGCTCCGCTCGCTTTTCAAAGACAAACGCATGAGCAGAAAAAAGAGGCGACCGGTCCACCACCGCGCCACCTCATTGGAAATCCGTTGGGGAAAATCAAGCGCCTTGGAAACGGACGCCCCCGCCCCACACCGGCTGCCTCGGTGGCGCCGCCCGCTAAGATGGCAGACTCCGCCTGCACCTAGGAGAAGAAGGGTGGCCTTCACGCGTCCGTCGGCGCTCGGGCATCCAGTTCCGTGAAGAGGGATGGCAGTTGTGGCGCGTGTGTTGGGAAGCGGGCGTGGGGGTTCGTGTCGCGCTGCCGCCGCCGCAGATTGCCGTGAAAAAGCATGAGGGCGCTGGCGCCGGTGTGTGCGCGTTATTTGTCTTTTTTTCTTGTGTGGGGATTTGTGCGGCAGAGTTCGCATAAAGACTTGTTGACGTTGTGACCTTGGCTGGCAAGGAGATCCAATTTTCATGCGGATGGCACGCAACAAATATGCTGTCTGCTCTTTTACTCCCACTCCCGTGTGTGTGTGTGTGTGTGTGTGTGTGTGTGTGTGTGTGTGTGTGTGTGTGTGTGTGTGTGTGTGCGTGTGTGTGGCATGACTGCCTGAGCACTATCGGGTGCTAAGTGGCCCGTGTTTGTCCCGGCCTTCTGCGCCCTGAGGGGAAGTCTCGCTTCATCAGATCGGGGGTCGTCTCAGGGCCCAAAGTCAGAAGCCAACTTTGTTTTTTGTTTTTTTTTCCCTCCCTCCAGCACCCGGCCAAACGATTTGCGGCCTGACCGTTGGGATTCAACTCCTAAGTGATTTTGCTGACTCGACGACTTGATCGGTTCCTTACTGTAATCTGCACGACCGTATCAATTCTTGCTTCATTTGCCTTTGTGCTCGCGTAATGCTCCCGCGAGCCTCATCGCAAAACATCTATGCATGGACAAAAAAAAAAAAAAGATCACATTGATGAATTTGTTGCTTGTGTGAGTTC